TCTGCAACAAAGCAAGTTGTGTGTTACCCAGCAAACTTTTTCCTCTTTCGGTGAAATCTTGCAACTCTATAGAGAGGTAAAACTTGCCACTGCCTCTATCAACGGCACAAAATTTGCTGCAATCTGGGATTAGTTTCGTATAAGCAACTAAGAGACGGATCTCTAACCTACTGTACATATCATTCACGAAGATCAAAAAATTGTACAGTGAATTTTTGTTACTGTGTTTATGATTAAATCAAGTACATAATTCGATATCTAAGCTAAGGTGACAGTGCATTTCTCTCTGGATCTGCTGAATGGTCGCTGACAAGCAGAAATTTCGATTTTGCAGCTACGCACAGGCAGGATTTGACATGAAAGATGTCCTCTTGCATGCCCGCCTTGTAGAGCAGGCGACCGGTGAGGATCAGCCTGCAGTGAACATTGAGGAGGTTCATGGCAGAGGAAGTGGTGATGAAGGCACTGTTTTCCAGCTAACATTTGCTTGCACAGCCCCGCTCTCATGGCAGTCAATGTCAGGGTCACTAGACAGCCCTTCGTTCTGTTGCAAGAAGATCCAGATCTTTGAGAAGAGAGGGTTGACACTTGGTGTTGTCATGATACTTGTGCAAACTTGGAATGAGGCGCTCTTCAAGAACCGGGTTGAGTCTGCACTGAAATCGGTAGTAAAGAAGCAAAGAAAGAACAGTGGTGGCATGAAGCTACCATTTGGGCTCTGCGGTTGTCAAGAAGAAGGATCGAGAAACTTTGATGAGGAGTCAATGTTTGATCCAGATGATGGTCAGGTACTTGACAATGAGCCGACACGCAGACCACAGCTTCCCACTCCCCTACCACAGTCATCAGTCTTCGTCTCAGTAGATGAATGGCAAACCATTCGCTCTGGTGGTGAGGAGCTCGGTCGCTGGATGCTGCGTTCTGAGGAGATTGAGTTCATTGATTGGGTTGGTGCGAATTCATTCCAGGGTGTCTATAGAGGAAAGAAGGTTTGGGTCAACAAATTGAGGGGCTGTGACATGGGAAGTGCTTACGACGTCGAGATCCGTCAGGACTTGCTGCAGTTGATGAGCTGTGGCCAGAGGAACATCCTCCAATTCCATGGCATTTGTTTCAATGAAAATCATGGCCTATGCATAGCGACGAGGATGATGGAAGGGGGATCAGTTCATGATATTCTTATACAGAGAAACAAGAGGCTGTCCCTCCGAGACACGGTTAGGATCGCTCTTGATGTCGCTGACGCTCTGGCTTTCTTGAACAGCTATGGCATTGCATACCGTGATCTCAATGCTCGGAAGATCCTGCTGGATAGGCAAGGGAATGCTTGCCTTGGGGATATGGGCATTGTTACACCTTGTAGTAATGTTGGTGAGGTCACTGAGTATGAGACATCTGGGTACCGATGGCTGGCTCCAGAGGTTAGTTTTCTTGACTTGATTTACTGAAAATTCATGTTGTTGTCTATAAGTAGTCTTTCTGAAAGTAAATGGTCAGCTGTAGAGGTTCTTGGTGAACGAAGTTGCTCTATTTTAAACTGCTAGTTTTCATCTGCTATTATGGAATGACCTATACAATATTCAATGCTTTGCTTTTCTTCTACAAGTTCCATGTTTTCTTGTAGTAGATCAGGCAGTCAGTTACAATTTTTTTCTCCCTTCTTGTACAGTCAGTAACACAATAAAAAATGTTGGAAAAGACAATCATCTAGTTGACAATTATGCAAATAAGTTTTCTACTATCCCATTTTATACTGATCTGTCCTTGCTGAAAAGTTTAGTACCATGGTGTCTACAGATCATTGCTGGAGATCCTGAAACCGTCTCCGAGACCTGGATGAGCAACGTCTACAGCTACGGAATGGTGCTCTGGGAGATGATCACCGGAGAGGAGGCCTACTCCACCTACTCGCCAGTGCAAGCAGCTGTCGGAATCGCGGCCTGCGGGCTGAGGCCGGAGATCCCCAGAGATTGTCCTCCTTTCCTGAGGTCGCTGATGAACAGGTGCTGGGACAATTTCCCTCTGAAGCGCCCTCAGTTCTCTGAGATCATATCCGTCCTACAAAAGCAGAATACTAGATAGTTTTCTTTTTCTCTTCCTTTTTTTTCCTTCTATATTATATGCTATATATCAGTTTGGCTTGGCTGTTTGCCTAATCATGCAGGAAACTGCATCTGAGAAAATATAATATAATATAATATATATGTGCAGAGGCTTGTTATATACAGCCTGTTCGTTTGGCTGTGACTTGTCGCAAACGATCGTAATTTTTTAGCCGGAACAGTGTTTTTTTCTCATACAAATCAGTCAGCGGTACTTTTTCATGAACCAGTAACGAAACGAATCAGCCAACCGAACAAGTCGCTCACATCTCTTATCCCCTGAAGTGTCAGTCCATCTTGAATTAGTCCACAGAAGGTGACGTGAAAATGAAAGGGCGTGAGGATTTTAATTGCAGGATCTAGGGAGGATGAAGGACAATGTCATGCCACATCCTCTACAACAATCTGCATAGTGCTTGTTATTAAGAGCTAGTACCATGCACAGCAATGTTTGGATGCATGCACATTGCGAGTACTAAGCATATAGCAATGTTGGATCTACTGGGGCGGGTCTTTGGGACAGGTCAAGATCTGCCGAGATTCCCCCGGTCTGACCTGCTCAAAAGATTGCGATGTGGCGTGGCGAAATTTGGGTCAAGGAGCCGCTCTCACCTCTCTCATGTCCACATCTGCTTCTACTCCATGTGTCTGCCTGCCTGTGATCACGCCATGTGCTTCCATGGCCATGGCGGCCTCCCTATCTATAGGCAGGCCCTGTTCGCTTGTCTTAAAAGTTTAGTTTGTTTGACTTGTTTTTTTAGCCGGAACAGTGTTTTTCTTTCACAACAATTCAACTGAAACAGTGTTTTTCAGCTAGTTTCAACCAAAGTTCAGACCAGCGAACGGGGCCATAATTAGCGTCTCGTTTTCTTGGAGCAGTGTCCACCTACGACTTTGTCAAGACTTGATGCCGCATCCTGGTAGCTTCTCTTTCTCTCTGATTCCATTTGCGCCGTGCCCTCCATTTGGGGAGATACCCAATCCTTGAACAACGTGTGCCTGTTGCCAGAAAACAGTGGTGAATGATTGTGTGTCGCCCCACTTTATTTCGTCTACCCAAGCAGCTGAATACAGTACGTAGATCTGTGTCCACACTTGGTCACTTGGGTAGAGCCGTAGAGAAGGCACAGTAACTGATGAGGCGAAAGCCTTCCGCCATCCACCGGGCGAAGGCTCACAAATCACATTACGTGGGCAGAGTAATGTCAAGACAGGTCCATCTTGAGCTGGGGAGCGGTCTCTGTTTTCGTGGTGCACCATGCACGACTTTACAGTATGATGATGGGAGTTCACTTTCGTGCGAAACCCTTACCACTCTTACGAAGTTACCGCATCCAAAACTCCAGCAGATCCCAATGTTGAACCAACATGATTCGCAGTTTGGCAAATTCATTCTCATCGATTTGAAATAAGCAGGCAGGTTTCAGGTATCACGGACACAGGCTAGATGCTAGAGCTGTACTAGAACCTAGGGCCTGTTTAGTTGACCCGCTGAATCGGCGCCGCCAAAATTCGACATACACTGTAGCTACTGTAGCGTTTTGTTTTTATTTGGTAATAATTGTCCAATCGTTGACTAATTAGACTCAAAACGTTCGTCTCGCAAAGTACAACTAAACTGTGTAATTAGTTTTTGATTTCGTCAACATTTAATACTCTATACATGTACCACAAATTTAATGTGATGGAAAATCTTTTTTTTTTATAGTGTCAAATTCTAAAATCCAAGAGAACTAAACAAGGGCCTACAGGGATGCCTAACAAGTGATAAAGACGACCATGGCAAGCACCAGCCGTATCGAATCATAAATTTTCTGCAGCTCTGCATCATATCCTCACGCAGCTCTCGGCTCTCGCTGAAACGCATTGATGCCTTCTCCCCTCGGAGCCCCATGCCTGCGACCGTCCGCTGGCAGCAGCAAGCCTGCAAGCCAACTACAAAACGGCAGTCCGCTGCTGCGTCTCTCCCTCTGTGAACTTTTTTTTTTGATAGGACTCAGGCTGTGTTTAGTGGGACGAAATTTGAAAATTTGACTAATGTAGCACTTTCATTTTTATTTAACAATTAGTGTTCAATCATGGACTAATTAGGCTCAAAACGTTTGTCTCGCGATTTCCAACTAAACTGTACAATTAGTTTTTTTTTCATCTACATTTAATGCTCCATGCAAGCATCACAAGATTCGATATGATGGCTACTGTAATAATTTTTGAAAAACTTTTTTTAAACTAAACGTGGCCTCACCCTCTGTGAACTGACAAAGAAGGCTTCTGTACTCTGTACGGCTTCAGATCTGAGACGATGTGATGTACTGCTCCCTAGTCCCTCCGTCCAAAAACAGCGCAATTCTGGCTTTGGAGAAGTCAAACAGTTTTAAGTACGACCAAATTTATATAAAAAAAAATTATTAATATTTATGATACTAAATAAACATTATCAGATTACCTAATATATTTTCATAGTAAATCAAAGTGGAGACAATAATATTGATATTCTTTCTATAAATCAAACTTAGAAAAGTTTGACTTGTTCAAAACCTAGAATTGCATTAATTTTGGGACCCATGAAGTACATTGTAGTGGTATAGCCTTGTGACAGTCCAGGGCTGGAGATCGGATTAGCAGGTTTACACACTCGGGGCAGAAATAATGGCAAGTCCGCCAAATGTAATTTGTGAACAAAAAAGTCAAAACATCATCATCACCATTTTAGAGCATATGGCTGCGTCAATTCAAGTTTGAAAAATATCCAGGTGGACAAATGGGGTGAATAGCTCCAGGGTGTGCTATTCATTCACCAGTAAAAATTCCATGAGGACAACATGGGAGATCATGAACTCGGTTTTTAGGCCTTTTTTCCTTATTTGCGAAGACCAATGGAAGTAAAACTCTCAAGATCTACTCGGAAATGGGGCAGGCTTCCTCAAAAGCTTGCTGCTCCTTACGGCAGAAGTCGAATTCGTTGGTATAGTAATACATGCAACCAGCATACTCATCCATTTCCTTAGGACACTTTTGGTGAAGTTCTTTCAACCTGGGAGCGGAAACATTACTTGTCAAAGATGGCAAAGGACAGAAGAAATATAGGCTTAATGAAAACCACATTGCTGAGGCAAACAATGTCGAACAAGAAAAACAGGGTCCTACAACGTACAAAATACATGTAGTATATTATTAAAAAAAACAATGCTAAGAAAGAAGCATACAGTCACACATGCTATTCAACTAAAAAAACAGCTACAACATTAGGTGGTAGTCTGCAATTCATTTCAGAATTAGAAGGGATAATAGGATACACAGCCCCTAAATGGATCCCCCTCCCAGAAAATAACCAAAAGAAAATGAAATTCCTGGTTGGTTTTGGGATAAAAAGATAGGTCTGTATGTCATCAATTACTCCCTCCATTCTAAAATGTATGCTGGTTTAGTTTTGTTCTAAGTAAAACTTCTTTAACTTTGACCAGGTTTATAGAAAAATATATTACATCTATAATACCAAATAAATACATTATCAAGACACATTTCAAGGTGGGGTTAATGAAACTAATTTTATGTTGTAGATATTGGTGCATTTTTCTATAAACTTAGTCAAAGTTAGAGAAGTTAGACTTAGGATAAAACTAAAACAACCTACATTTTGTAACGCATCGAGTACCAAACAGGAAATGATAAAAACACATACTGACATGTGGCCCAGGATCCACATGTCAGCCTCAACAGGTGTCGTATTGTAGAACATGCACTTTTTTTGTGCACATTCTCCAGCTTTTAAGAATGAACAATAATGAAACTGTGTAAATCCACCGGATAATCAAAAATACACATGTCTGATGAAATGGTTGTTGCTAAGATGCCCTATGCAACTCAATACTCCGGAATTGCGGATCTGATAGATCTCAGTAATATGTCAACACTGATAATGTACTTTGCTTTTTCTTACTTTATGTCTTGTGTAACCTATATACACTAACTCCACGGCCTCAATGCTCAAGAAGAAGGAAAAAATGGCACAAAGAAGTATGACATCACCAATTCAACCACATCAGGCTTCTAGTTGACAAATTGCTGAACTATAAGGGGTTCGTTTTGACAGGTGCCAAACAGAATAAGATATCAAGCTAGGTTGACATCACCAGTTCTTTTTGTTTAAAAAAACATCATGTGAATATGTGCTGGTGCTGAATGAATTTGCCAAAGCCTTTTTCTCATTTCATTTACTCTCACTAAAATGTACTGTATAAAAGGAAGTATGAAGTGTTAGTCGCTGAATTCTTACTCTTGGTAGTAGTAGAATTCTTACTCTCATCGAGAGAGGATGACACTAGGAGTTGGGGTAATTTTCTAGTTTATTTCTCACACAAATGCCATGCCAACCTGAGGGGTTGGGGGTACATATTTATAGGCTGCAAGCCAGCCAAGCATATGCCAAAATGCTAGTCTAAGATGCTGTCCTAGATGCTAAGATGTTGTCCTCTAAGATGCTGTCCTAGATGCTAAGAGGCTGTCCTCTAATCTAAGATGCTGTCCTAAAAACAGACCATGCAGCCACAAGGACCATGTGACCAGCACAGCCCCACAAAGACCAGCCAACATATGAGACTTATCCCATCATGAAGTTGGGTATGACACCAACAGTTCCTCCATCGCAATTCATGCTACCCTACTGGATAATAGTGAGAAACATGTCCTAAAATCCCAGGAGATGCAATGCAAGTTAGAACTGGTGTTAAAGCAGTGTTGTCACCATCTTATCAATTTAAACTCAGTGCCATAAACTAGTACATCCCTGAAGGTGGATAGTTGTTGACTTCGGTGCATATTTGCTTCCCTGAATCACTTGCTGACATTATATTTAAATTCGCTTGGTTAATTTGTGGATTTGCCACATTGTACTCGTGGTGACTTGAGATTCTCTGGCCATGGAAGAACATTCGAATCACAGACTAAGTATCTATGGTGGATAAAAATTTAACAAATGCGGCTCAGATCAAGTAGGCAGAAATGTGATCTTAGCTGCAAATAGCAAGTGTGATCACGCTAAATAGTTAGTTCAATTTAGCTTACTCAAGAGCAATGTGGAAAGCAGGAAGGTCTACAAAGTAGGGAAGTTCTTAGCCTTCTACTGGAAGATATGGTGCTGTGACACAACTAGGGCTTCCGGCAATTGGTTCTAGCTAGCCAAGCTTCCAGTTTGGGACAGTCGCACCAAATCAACCACTGTAAGATGATATGGTAGGTAGCAGTTATATTTATTTTAGCTGTAATGACCAAGTACAAAGTTAAGCATTGTACAGTCGCTTATTAGCTATAATTTTATCATCTTGGCAATGCTTGCTAAGGGCTTCACCCATCAGAGTTTTCCCCCTTGAAATCTATTTGATTATGCTTAATAAATTGATGGCTGGAATAATGAGATAAAGGAAAAACTACAAACAATATGGTTCATGCAAACTTACTGTTGAAAATGAGCATACCAGAAGAAAAAGATCAACCTATGAGAGAACAATCAGATATATATAACAGTACAAATTTCAAGTAACAGAAATGCTACTAAGTTAAAAACTAAATATCAGGTTTTGTGTGACTGTAGCCTTCTATCGTAGAACTTAAGGGGAACTGACTAAGGATATCACAGTATTTATTGGCTGCAACTGCAAAGGAGGGCTATTGTTTGGATGAAACCAACCTAAACAATCAAGGTATGAAACCCTTTGCTCATTTTGATGGATGACCCTAAAGCCAAATGAGCTGTCTAACAATGAACATCACCAATTTAAAGTGCTCTAGCTAATCAGTCCAGCCTCTGTCAGGGGCTAAAGGCCTCAGTAGCATCTGGCCATAGCTTGACATGTATAGGTTGCCGATCGTTTTATTTGTTGGTTCATTGGCTATAAACATGTACTAGAACCTATGGGCATGTTTGAGTCTTTTTAGATTCCCTCTCTTCTTAATGACCCGCAGCTCTCATGCTTGTTGAAGAAAAAAAATGGTGCAGCCTTGCAATGCAATCAGAAATTTCTACTATTGTACTATATGAACATAATTCATAATTTTCTACGTATCTTCATTGAAGTTATCGAATCATGTCTCTGCATAGCATTTGCATAACCACTCAGCTGTTGATTATCTTTCAAAAAAAAAATCAGCTGTTGATTAACCTGATAAGGGATGACCTAAGAGTACACACTAGTACCACATAACCAATGCCAGGTAGCTGTTCAATTGCATCATCAGTAACCTCACAAATCGCTTCGCTAACGTATCGAACCCTAAGGAACAGAATGACGGAAGCAAGTCCAATCGAGCAGCAGGGGATCGGACGGCGCAGGCAGGGAGGATAGGGGGAGAACGTGGCAGACGAACTCACAGGCTAAGGACGCAGCGTGTGACCTGACGGCCCTTCTCGAGGCACTTCTCGGGGTTAGGGTCCTTCTTCTTGCAGTTGAGGAACGCGACGTTCTCCGGGCGGCACCGGACCGCGATGTGCTTCGACGCCGCCATCAGCACCGACGACGTCGGGATCGGCTCCCCCGAGGCGTCTACGGGCGTGCTGCTCGCCGACATCGCTGCGGGCGTGGTGGTTTTCCGCGGGCTCCTGGTCTTGGAGATCTGGGGTAGGAAGTGGGCGAAGCGAGACGTCCACACCCAAACGGGAAGGGAGGAGGAGACGGATGGAGGAAGGTGGGGACAGGTGGCCAGTGGCTGCCGGGGCCGGAGAAGAGGCTTTGCCACTCTCTGTGGTTCCTGCCTTCGTGGGCTTTACCTGGGCTCATTTTTAAGGTTTTACAGCAACCCTAGCAGGCCTCTAAACCCAAATTTAAAAGCTCAGACTCCGGAGAAGTCCCTGCTCAAACCTTCTCGGTCTAATTTGGAAATAAAGGGAGACAAACACAACGATGAGAAGCTCCACATGACGACATGAAAAACTAAGTGGTTAGTTAAAATGACACATCCATAGATTGTTTATCCTAAAGAAGTCCGGGATTCCAAAGAGTTAGAGTTTCCAAACTAACCTTAAAATAAAGAGGTCCTGAAATCATCCCCTTAGTCCTCATTCGCAAGGGCCTTCCTCTTGATCGATTAAGCCTCCACCCACTCCCGCTCGATCTGTCTTCCCTACTAAGCCTCTCCCCACCACACGCCTCCTCATCAAGCACCTTCTCATCGAGCATCTCCTGTATGACGATGAAAGACGGGAGAAAAGGAAAAAAGAAAACACATGCCGCTAATAGAAGGTCCCGACTTTTCATAAAAAGAGGGAATTTTAGAGGTCATTGAGCATGGGAAAAAATATTTAGAGGTCATTAAAAATATCTATAAACTTTCAAAAATTAGATTTAACTCAAAAAATTCCAATTTTAAAGAAAGCGTTCTAATCAATGTCCAAACGTGTTTTAAAACTTTCCACAATAAAATATAAGTGCAACACACTATGGCTTGGATTTCTATTTAGAAGAGCACTATGCAGGTGGAAAAACATGATGGCTTGGATTTCTATTTAGAAATTCCCGGTCCATTTCAGTTAGAATCTTTTCCTCTCCATCTTTAATGATCAACACACTATGTCAGTAGAAGAATGTGATTATGCTGAATAGGGGGCCATTCTCTTAATACTAATCATTATAATGTAGTCCTAGCACGTATATATAATTTAGACAAGGTCTAAGAATCCGATAAGATTCGGTAAGCGCACAGAGAGAATACTAAGATTAGAGTTCATCCTCCTTTACTTGTTGGTTAGAGCCTATATGTTTTTTTATTTATAACTATACTTAACATCTATAACATCAAATTAGTTTTATTAATTTTTTCATAGAATATACATTGATGATTTATTATTTGAACATATAGATGTTAATATATACTATGTATATTTTTTTAAAACCTTAGTTAAAGTAAAAGAGATTTGGCTTAGGGCGAATTTGAATCAGAGGAGCACAAAGTATAATGTTCTCCCAAGCTCGCGCACCAAACAACGATCATCGCGCGAATTGCCTGTTAAATTTGGTCATATTAAGTGTTTGGTTTCTACCGGAGCTGAATGGGCCTTCCGGCCCAGTAGTGCAACTAGCCTCTCCAAATTGGTTTGGTTTGCGCTAAAACAATCAGCTCGCGCCCTCCTCACTCTCCCCCTCTTGCATTCACTCGTGCGGGTTTAGGGTTGCGCCGCTCCCACCTGTTGCTCCGGCACCGACGCCGTGAGGTCTTCGCCCGTACCCCCATTCTCGCTTCGCGCGCCGGCCGCCGGCCGTCCTTCTCCCGTCACAACCCCCCCCCCGAGACGGAAGGCGCCATCCACCCGACCCGTGTCGCCGGATTCGGTGCGGCCTTGCCGTACCAGATCCGCCTCGTCCTCCTCGTCGTGTTGCCGAACAGATCCAGACCCTTCGTCAGCTACGGAGTCACCTCCAACTAGTCTGGTACATACCAGACTTGCCCCTCATTTTTCGTTTGTTTGTGACGATCCGTTTGGTTAGGGTTTACGGTTTCCCGCACCCCGAATCCTACTTCATTTTCAGGTCAATCCGCCGGCGAGCTCGTTAACGCCACGGTTACTTCAACGTGCTGCCGATTCTTCTGTCTCCTTCCGTTTCCATATCTGACTTGCAGTCGCCGCCGTCTTAGCCACAGGATCCGTCACCTTTACCTGTTTCCTCTTTCCCTGCAGCGCCAGATCCGGTACGTAGGCAACTTTCTCAATCCCCTTTTCGAACACACTTGTAGTTCCGGTTGAAAAGGGTTAGGGTTCGTTTCCCTCGTTCGCCATACAATACATTTACACACTCATGCATATACATTGCACCAGCTCTGTTCTTTACTTGACTGCATATGTGCAGACATGGACCATGGTGCAGTCTTGTATGACACACCGTGCTTTCTTCGTGCTTAGATCTTTTTTTTTTGTCCATATTTGATTCCATATGTGAACATATAGGTAGCTTGTTGTAATGTCTGATTAGTTCTCCTGCAAACAGGGCAATATGGCAAATGTTTTCTTAGCCTTACTTCTTTTACTATGTGAGCTAGATTGTGCTTCCTTACATTAGGGGTACATTTGGTTGGTTGTACCTTGCTTGCCAAAACCATGGACCATTTCTTTAGACGAATAAAACATTATGTTGTCCGAGGACATACGATGTTAACTGCATAAATGTAGTTTTCTCACACTTTCATTTAGGTTGATTACATTTGTGCATTCATACATGGGATTACCGTTTCTAGTTATTCACTACCCCAGATCTTGACATCACTGTTCGTTCAAAAAACCCCTTCACTGTTGAATTTTAAACCGATAGTGGCATATCGGCAGTGATAGGGGTTGATATCACTGCCAGTTCTTATAAACCGACATTGATATGAAACCGGTAGTGATGTAGAAAGCCAAAAAATACACTGAAAAAGGAAAAAATAATTTAATATCGGGAGAGGTCCCATCGGTTGTAATCATTTAGTGTTCCAAAATGACGTTTGAAATTGACATTTTTTTAAAATTCAAAATTCAAATATATAAAACACAGTCACATGAAAAGATGGATAAAATAATAGCTATAACAAAACAATAAATTGATAGAGCATGATTTTAGAAATTTTTAGAAAAAAAAATCATCAAATTTAAAGTTAGTATGAGGGAGAAAGACTAGTTACAAGTTTTAACCAGAGATTAAAAAGAGAAATCAGAGTTCTTTAGCAATTTCAAAATTTAATTTTAATTAGCATTTTGAAGTAGTAAATGATTTCAAATGAAAAAGTTGTCAACTATAAAGTTGCATAACTTTTCGAGTTCTACAACTTTTGTTTTGGATGTTTCTCCATCCGAGGTCGTTTGAAAAAATCAAATTTTAAATTTTAGAAATCAAACATAATTTTAGTTAGAAAGATGATTTTAAATGAAAATATTTGGACATCCAAACGATCTTAAATTAAAAAGGTTGAACTACAAAGTTGTAGATCTCGTCGAGTACAACAACTTTGATATAAAGTTCGTCTTTATCGGACATCATATAAGAAAATTATAAAGTTTTCTTGTAGCATATCACTGTCAGTTCAAGCCACGAACCGACATTGATAGTATCAGTGTCAGTTTTTGGCTAAAATTGAACCGGCAGTGATGACCCAATATCACTGCCGGTTCTTAGCTAAAACCGACAGTGAAGACCCGAATATCAGTGTCGGTTGGTCTATCAGTGTCCTATTGCTGCCATCACTGTCGGTTTCTCAAAATCCGACAGTGATGAGGCCAGCAGTGATGTCCAATTCTATAGTAGTGATTGCTCTACTATCCAAACCAGTACGCAATTGTCTAATTTAAACTTGGATGCTATAAATTAAAGGCTGAATACAACGTGGCTTGCAACCTCCTTTTGTTGCCTCATTCATCTATGCATCATAGGTCCAACTTCGTGCCTGCTCTCAAATCTTAAGCTATAACATCTTCCCTTGTGTTCCATGTAGGTCTCCACACACTCAAACCACCTTTGAATCGTTGGCCTATTTCAATTCTCTGTACCGGCACCGTCGTCGACAGCTTTCGGGTCACTGCCAGAAGCTACTCGGTACAACTTGCGTGCCAAACGCGCGAAGCGAATAAGGAAGGCAAGTAACTGTTATGCACATTCCTGCTTGTTTTAGTTCTGTCGTGGTTGCCTTTCCTTTGTGCGCTACCATTGCTACGCAAAGCCCCAAACAAAATTAGCCATTGCACATGCCGACAGATGCCACGCCAACGCGCGCATTGGCAAGACGATGAAACCAAGCTTCAACTTCAACCAGTTTGGGCTAACTACCACCGGTTGGAACAACATTTATACCTACTTCCCCCATTATGATAAGAAATAATGCAACAACAAACTAGATGCCCCGAAAGCCACATACCTTAAATGGAAAGATGAGCTATCAGCCACTGGGCTTGGTAGGGACCCACGTACGGGGGACGTTGCCGCTGACCCTGAGTACTGGAACAGCCAGGCCGGTACCCAGCCCGAGTGCGAGGTAATTCTAGTAGTTGTCCCATGAGCTATCAATTTTTGTTGCCATTGTAGTGCATGATTCCATCCATCTTACTAACACTTGTGATTGTGTTCTTCACAGGAAACAAGTTCCGCTGGTGGTAGACGTGGAAGACCACCTCGGTTCCTGGAAGAACTTGAAGCATTGTACAACGACCGGAACCGGTACATGGGCTGTTTCATGTCGGCTGGTGGTATTTGTGCCTCAACACCCCCTCCTGTTGTGGAGCCGCAACATTTCTATGGAACGTACAGCGATAACTCCGGTTCTAAAAGGGGCACTAGGGACCATGCCGTTAACAGCCCAGAGAAGAAGAAGTCCTACAACGTGGGGGAGTACATGGCACGTTTGTCTTAAAGCATTGCTGCTAGGAGTATATCTCGTGATCGAGAACGTACCCGTGAACAGGCGGAGGTCGACGAGGCAATGCAAATCCTGCGGGACGATGGTGTGCCAAGTTGTTCAGACATGTTCTTCAAAGCATTGGAGCTGTTCAAGAACTCTGTGTCCCATAGGGAGTTCAAGAATCTGGTGAACACAGAAGAACATATTGCTTGGCTCACGTGGCACATGAACAGGAACAACAAGTAGTCCTGGTGGATGCAGTGAAGTACATGCGCGTCAGGCTATCAGATGTTCAGTGTGCTGGCCACCTACGATGACATTTGAGTGTCATCTTGTATCCTTTGCATTCAGTTGTCCACTAGTTTTATTGAGTTGCTGCCTGTTTGTTCAAGTTCCCGCGATGTAATGTGGCCTGTGGCCAAACTATGTTTCCCGAACTCCTAATAAGTTGTTTGTTGTGATGTATATGTGTTTTTGTGTACTGAACTCCTAATAAGCTGTTTGTTCTGTTGTATATGGTTTTGTCATTTCAAGTGTTAAGTACCTTCCTTTGGCTGAGTAGGCTAACAATGCTTTTTTACAGGGGTCGTTGAGGTAACCACATCTAGACGATTAGCCCCGGAAGGCTATGGAAGACGTGAGGTAGCCAAGAGGTTAGTATGAGCTACCTGCTTTGATATTTGGTGATGGCGTAAGACCTAACTGCTATGCCATGTTCTCTGTATAATTTTTTAATTTGCATGTTCCAAGGGCATGCTTACTTGCTGATTTTTTTTGTTTTCTGGTGATGTCATTTTGCCACAAACATTGACTTGAAGTAGCTGCAATCATGTTATATATTTTAGCGCATATTTAACTGATTTGAATCTAGATAACTAATGTGTTGTGAGTTTTGACGTGATGCAGTTTATGCTTCCTTGCTCTTGGACCTTTCAACTTCTACTGAAGTCAAGTGGTCATAAATTATCTCTGATTTCGAAGGTTTGTATTAAGCTGTTTGCAGTTGTAATGCCTCCGTTTCCATATTAATTGGTGTTCTAGGTTGACCTAGTTGAGTACATGTTTCTTAAATTGTTGGGCTGACCTTCAGATAGGTTCAGGTGGCATATAAACAAGTTATTTGAAACTGATGAACTGTTGTACATTTTAGAGGCTGCATGAAGTTAACTTGTTACATATTGTCTCATGCAGGCTGTTTCGAGCATGGAAAGAAGTGATGAAGAGAGTGAAAATTCAAGTGAGAATAGTTTCAACGAAATTGTAATTGCAGCTACGGCGGGAGGATATGCAATGATGTCCATGATGACGGTACCGCCACAAGTGAACTTTGTCTACCATCGGCCGGACATCACCGGTCGACAATGGGTAGATAACCTCTTGGCTAATCGTCGTAGATGCTTTGAGAACTTTCGTAAGCAGCCTGAAAATTTCCAAAGGTTGCATGCCATATTATCTGGAGGGTACGGTCTAGTATCCACTAGGGAAGTTGAATCTATTAAAGTTTTAGGCATGTTTCTTTGGGCAACTGGGACAACGCAATTTCAGAGGCAAATGCATGAGAGATTTATGAGGGGATTAGGCACCTGTAGCAAGATATTTGCCTGAGTTCTTAACGCCTTGGTTCACTTTGCAAATGACGTGATTAGGCCTAAGGACTACACCTATTCTGTAGTGCCGCAAGAGTTGTTAGAGTACACCCCTTTTTTTGATGGCTGCATAGGAGCCATTGATGGAACTCACATAGATGTGGTAGTTGATGAAGCAGTACGTGAGGACTTCATTAATAGGAAAGGGAGGACAACCAAAATGTGATTGTTGTTTGTGACTTCAACATGAGGTTCACTATATTGGGGCCGGGATAGAGGGTTCAGCGCATGACATGCGCGTGATCAAGATAGCACGGGCGGATCCCACTTACCCACACCCACCATCAGGTTTGTCTACCTAAGTTGACTTCCATGTTGTATGGATGCAGTTGGTGACTAGTGTTGCATGCTAAGTGTTTGTGACCTTTTGTGGTGCTATGTTTGTGTGCAGGTCGATATTATTTGGTGGACTCCGGCTACACACTTCGCCCAGGATATCTGGCGTCGTATCAAAATAAGAGGTACTGGGTGAAGGAGTTCAAGGATAGGGGCCCTCAAGACACGTAGGAGGTGTTCAACCACCACCATTCGAAGCCGCGTATTGTAATAGGAAGGACATTTGGGGCCGCGAAAGCTAAGTGCGAATGTTGAAAGCCGTACCTCACTATTCGGGAATGAAGCAATCACAAATAATTATGGCTTTGTGTGCACTGCACAACTACGCGCATGATCTGGAGGGCTAGAAGCAACCAGGGAGGCACAGGCAAGCACAAGGACTTGGCGAGTTGCATCAAGTGGTAGCTATGGCGTTAAGTGACCCTAATGATATGGAACAAGATCGGGACTGGATTACTTACGGACTTGGACTCCTTGGGATGACAACAATGTATGTGAATATGTTAAAGTTTTGTTAGCAAAGTTCTGTTGTCATGAATCTGTTGGTCAATGCCTAAGTGGGACCGAAAAGGCTTTTTTGAACATGCAGGTGAGTGTGAACTAGAGGAGACTGGGAGCAAAGTGAGCAGACGATAGCATGAAGAAGAGGCTTCAAGTTGGTACGTGCATTTTGACATTTGGGCTTCGTCTTCCTACTATCTGAAGTACCTAAAAGGGGTACAAGTTTTGTATTGCTGTTCCACCTATGCACCCAATTAGATGTAGAGGATTGTTGTGATTTGCCAACAATTATTTATGACCTGATGTAATGGGCAACTGCGTAGGAGAAGTCTGATGTTGTGACACTTCTGCTACCAGTTAACACTACTAGAAAATAGACCTTTCACCCACTTTGATTTTAGCCTTTAGTCTCGATATTTTTTGCGTTCGGGACTAAAGGACTTTTAGTCCCGGTTCGTAATACCAACTGGGACTAAAAGTCATCTTTAGTCCCGGTTGGTGTCACTAACCCAGAGTAAAAGTTCACCAACTTTTAGTCCCGATTGGTAACACCAACCGGGACTAAAGGGTGACCTTTTAGTACCGGTTGGTGTCTTTAACCGGGACTAAAGGTCTTTTACCCGGGATTAAAGGTCTTCCACGAGTCTATTCAAAAGGAGAGCGCACATGACTTTGTCACAAGTGGTGTGCAGTTGAGTTGGTAATGTACCTACGCGCGAGGAGACAGGTGTTGGGTTCGAATCTCACGTAGAACAAGCGAGGCCTCGAGGATTTCCTTTATTTTTTTCTTCCGTGGGTGACCTTTAGTCCCGGTTCTCAGACCTCACCTTTAGTCCCGGGTGTAAATGTGCCCACCAGTAATTCGGTGTCAAGGATGTAAGGGCCGGTTGTTTTGGATGTCTCATCCTGGTATTGTAGTGACCTGGGTGTAATCAAATGGTTCCATTGGACAAGTATTTGAATGATGTAACGGCTGTCATGGTTGTATTACTGGTGTTCTACTTGTATCTGCTGCGTAGTGTTGTTTGAATTTGAATTTAAATTGCATTAAATGAAGGCTGTGGCGTCATTTTTTGAAATCAAATGGCTGCTCGTGCTACATCGGCTAATGCTGGGCACATCTGCTGGTTTTGGCTGATGCTGCTCACTGTACCAGTTTCAGCTTCAGTCCAAACCAGCCGGCAAAGTGACCAGCCGAACGGAGTCCTGGTAAATTTCACCGGTCCTTGTCAGCATCGTTATGTCTCCGACTCCGATTGACCAGTCGCATCTTTTCTCAGACATGGACCGTGTCCACCCGACATGCCCTCCACAGAATCACAACCGTCGTTCTCAACAAGACAACAACGAACGGCCCTGATCACTCGAGGCCTTCCACCTCCGCCAGCTCAACGCCTCAGCCACGCCACCCATACCGTATCGGCGTATCCACCGTCACCACCTTGCCGCAAAACCCCTCTCTCCTCTGCCCGCCCCGGCCGCCACTGTTGTATATGTACCTCCATCTCATCAGGCATCAGCTTGGCCTCCAAGGAGCCGGGAGGAAGGGGCGACCCGCGGCCGCGACCGCCGCGCGAACCCTAGCCGCCGCTCCGATCGCCACCGCTGGTAAGCCGTACTGCCCCTCGTCGAGTCGACCCGTTTCGATTATTCGATCCGTGTTCCCGGCCGCCATTCCTGGGGTTTTGGGTGCTGGGTGCTTTTGGTTTTTGATTCGTTTTGATGCTATTGTTGTGCGGTGCAGGGGTTTTCGATATATGCTTGCGAGTTACGACGAAGAGAGCGGAGGGAGCTGAGGACGGCGGTGACGCTGTCGTGAAGAAGGCTCGGGGTGGGGGAATCGGCGGCGGAGGCGGAAGAGATGGTGGCCGGGGCGGATGTGGGCGGCGGCGGGAGCAGCAATGGGAGCGGGGTGGTGGAGATCGACGAGGACCTGCACAGCAGACAGCTCGCTGTGTACGGAAGGGAGACGATGCGGCAGCTCTTTGCCTCCAACGTCCTCATCTCCGGCCTTAACGGGCTAGGGGCCGAGATCGGTGCGTGCCCTTTTTATTTTTGTTTGGTCGTACGTTTAATGTTTTCCTGTGTATCCTTATGGTTCGGCAATACAATAGTCAATATACAATAGTATGTATACATGCTGAATTGCTGGATTGCAAAATACAGCTGGGACTGTTGCATGTAATGGATATATGGGCAGCAACTGGGCAAGCAAAAAGGCTGACAGCCTTAGACATTTATGCTCCAATGTTTAATCTGTTAAAGTTTCTGTTGAACTGAGAAATGCAAATGGTGCGGCCATTTTTCTGATTTTTATGTACATATTTTGTTTACTATTCTGTTTAATGGCCGTCCTCATTATAAGACATATGGTGTAGCAGTATAACTGTGCAAGTCACTGCCAACACGATGAGCAAATTGTATCCTCCCCCCAAAACAAAAACCTTCTTGTCAGCACAGGAACATAATGTTTTTTTTTCTTTTCTCTTGAGCCAGCCAGTAATTAATCATTTTTGTTAGATAACTATCATTGTATTTCCCATGTGCATTTGTTCATATTCTAATGCTAGAATGTCTTATAAGCATTATCTTGGTGAGGTCTTTGGAACTAATATTTCCTCTCAACAGCAAAGAATCTTGCTCTGGCTGGTGTTAAATCTGTCACCCTACATGATATCGGAAATGTGGAAATGTGGGACCTATCAAGCAATTTCTTTCTGTCTGAGGATGACATCGGGAAGAACAGGGCTGTTGCTTGTGTTGCAAAGCTTCAAGAACTTAACAATGCTGTTCTCATACATACTCTAACATAAGAATTGACCACTGAGCACCTTTCAAAGTTCCAGGTCTGTTGGTTCTCCGCTGAGCTAAAATTTGCTACTTCTCATTGTTGTTTGCATTCAGGATCTGTTTTCAAGTGTATGGGATGACGTGTTGTATAACTATGTTCAGTTTAATTCTTTGTTTTGATAATAGCAAGCAAATCCATCTTGCCCTTCTATATGACCTTGTATTTTTCTTCTCCTGCTCTCCTTTTTTATTTTAGTGGCTGAGCATATGATTGTGAGCAATATGTTCTCTCATAAACTCATATGAGCACTGTCTAGTGCCAAATGCTTTTCTTTTGTAGGGCCTAGTTGAATTTGTTTTCTTGAATTAAAAAAAAGAAATATGGAATTAAATTGAATGTAGTGCAAATCTGTGTGTATCACTGTATCTCTTTGCCAATTGCAGTATAGGGTTTGCATATGCCTCAGATATTATTTCATGGTATCATGTACATCCATGATCTACCTTTTCCAACCTACTTATGTGAAAAGGGTGGTTGTTCCTTCTACTGCAGAACCCCTTAACTTTCTATATTGGTATCTTGCTCTGTGGGCCTGTGTCTGGTCATTATCTGCAGAATAGCTGATAGTATTGATAACATTCCATATTCAGCCAACTTAGAACTCCTCAAGTGACCATGGTTAAACTGCTGATTAGTAACATCATATGATTGAAGCCTATTGGCTTAGATAAGTGTAAAGCAAATGATAATGTTATGCTTGGTAGCATCACTGAATATACTGCTACAGTATCCAGTTTTTATTTATTTATTTATCTGTATCATAAATCATCAACTTCGTAAACTCACCAGCTATTATATAGTGATCATACTTATAGTTGTCTGATTTTTCAGGTGGTTGTTTTCACTGACATTAGTTTGGACAAGGCGTTTGAGTTCGATGATTATTGTCGTAACCACCAGCCTCCAATTTCCTTTATCGAGACAGAAGTCTGTGGTCTTTTTGGTAGTGTGTTTTGTGATTTTGGGCCTGAATTCACTGTTCTTGATGTCGATGGTGAAGATCCACGGACTGGCATAATTGCATCCATCACCATCAGCACTGACAGTGACAATCATACGATAGTGTCCTGTGTTGATGATGAGCGCCTTGATTTTAAGGATGGTGATCTTGTTGTTTTCTCAGAGGTCCAGGGTATGACAGAACTCAATGATGGCAAGCCAAGGACAGTAATGTGCGCAGGACCATTTTCCTTTTGCATTGAGGATACAAGTAACTTTGGCACTTATACAAAAGGTGGAATTGTTACACAGGTGAAAGAACGGAAGATCTTAAAGTTTAAGAGTTTGAGAGATTCGATTAGAGAACCTGGGGATTTCCCTCTGAGTGTTTTTTCAAAGTTTACCCGCCCCTCCTCTGCTTCATTTTGCATTTATAGCTTTGGATAAATTTAGGAAAGAGTTTGGACGCTTCCCTGGTGTTGCTTGTGGTCTGGATGCCCAAAGGTTTGTGGAGTTCACTACTTCTATCAATGAAGCCACAATTGATTACAAGATAGAAGGCGAGCTTGATGAGAATTTGTTGCGGCTTTTTGCGAGTGGTTCTAAAGTTGTCCTGAACCCAATGGCTACTATGTTTGGTGGAATTGTCGGTCAAGAAGTTGTGAAGGCATGTTCTGGGAAGTTTCATCCGCTGTACCAGGTAATTGTCATGACTTACATGATATTTTATGGTTGTCTAGTACAGTATGTTGTTACTATCTGATAGTTTGTCTTGATCAGTTCTTCTACTTCGATTCGGTCGAATCTCTGCCAACTCACCAATTGGACCCTAAAGACTTGAAGCCATTGAGTAGTCGCTATGATGCTCAGATTTCTGTTTTTGGCTCTAAGCTTCAGAAAAAACTGCGGGATGCCAATGTCTTTGTTGTGGGATCTGGCGCTCTTGGATGTGAATTCTTAAAGAACCTAGCTTTAATGGGAGTGTCTTGCAGCCAGAGGGAAAATTACTATAACAGATGATGTCATTGAGAAAAGTAACTTGAGCCGCCAATTTCTGTTCCGTGATTCGAATATTGGACAGCCTAAATCTACAGTAGCTGCCACAGCTGCTAGTGCTATCAATTCCTGCCTGCACATTGATGCTCTCCAGAACCGTGCCTGTCTAGAGACCGAGCATGTGTTCCATGATGCATTCTGGGAGGGCCTTGATGTTGTCATTAATGCACTCAATAATGTTAATGCTAGGATGTACATGGACATGAGATGTTTGTACTTCCAGAAACCACTCCTGGAATCTGGAACACTGGGTACAAAATGTAACACGCAAGTGGTAATTCCTCACCTTACTGAAAATTATGGGGCTTCATGAGACCCTCCTGAGAAGCAGGCACCCATGTGCACAGTCCATTCATTTCCACACAATATTGACCATTGTCTAACATGGGCTCGCTCAGAGTTGAGGGTTTGCTCGAGAAAACTCCAAAGGAAGTCAACTCTTTTCTGTCTAATCCTGCTCAATATGCTGCCTCCATGAAAAAGGCAGGTGATGCTCAGGCCAGGGAGTTGCTTGATCGCGTATGTGAATGCCTTGAGAAGGAGCGCTGTGAAACATTTAACGATTGCATAATGTGGGCAAGACTGAAACTGAAGTATGATTTATCTCCCCATTTTGTTCATTCTTTAGCAACATTTATTTGTTTATTTTGGTCTGCATTGAATAATCTTTTCTATCTTAGAGCTTGGCTGATTTTACCGAGTATCATTGAAGAAAATAGGACTAGGGATGGTACTCATTTTAGATGCTGTCTAATTACCCCCCTCCTTTTGTCCCCAGATTTGAAGATTACTTCTCCAATCGTGTGAAGCAGCTAACATTCACGTTTCCTGAAGATGTTGCCACTAGCATGGGAGCCCCTTTCTGGTCTGCGTTTCCCTCACCCACTGGAATTTTCAGCTGCTGATTCATCACACATCCATTTTATAATGTCTGCTTCCATATTGAGGGCAGTGTCTTTTGGAATCTCTATACCTGATTGGGCAAAGGACACTGATAATCTGACTGATGCAGTCAGTAAAGTTGCAGTACCTGAATTTAAGCCAAAGAGCGGGGTGAAGGTTGAGACAGATGAGAAGACCAAAAACATCTCCAGTGCCTCAGTTGACGATGCTGCTGTTATCGAAGATCTTTTAACCAAGCTGGAAGCATGTGCCAAGAAACTACCTCCGAGATTCCAAATGAAACCTATTCAGTTTGAGAAGGTTAGCCTTATTTAAATATTCTTTCTGTTATTTTAAGGCTAAGACATTGTGTTTTAAAATTTTCCCTGCAGTTGTTTTTACTCTTTTGAAAATATTTTGAATCTAGGAGAACTTCACATTCTTTTAAATACAAATCAATGGATATGTCCTGGCCTGTTAAGCATAAAGATTAACATAGGTTCTGTTGTTCTGTCATGTTCCTTCATGCTTTAGACTGGATTACAGAAGTTAGTTGCCTCTGACTCCTTGCTAGTAGTAATCCATTATTTACATTACACGGCTCCAGCGAGATAAAAGTCAGTTAGCTCTTTTCACTTGATCTCTCATGTTTGTTTTCTGTCTAATTTGTGTAATGCTTCTGTTTCATTATCCAGCTGAGAAAAAAAATTACCTATTGTGGTTTCTGTTAACATGAAATATTGAAGAGGACTGCTATAGTAATATATGAGCATTTTTGTTTAAATGTGAACTGTTGAACATTCTGTATAAAAATAAAATTAATAGAAACTTTAACAGTCGATCCTTTTTGTTATCTTAATTAACACCACTTTCTATACAGGATGATGTTACAAACTTCCACATGGACTTAATTTCTGGTCTTGCAAATATGCGTGCCAGGAACTATGGCATCCCAGTGGTTGACAAGCTCAAGGAAAAAATTATCGCAGGAAGGATCATCCCAGCCATTGCAACTTCAACTGCCATGGCCCATGGCCACAGGACTTGTGTGCCTTGAGCTTTACAAGGTTCTGGCCAGAGGGCACCCAATTGAAGACTACCACAATACATTTGCTAACCTGGCCCTACCGATGCTCACCGTATCTGAACCTGTTCCCCCCACTGTGATCAAGCATCGAGATATGAGGTGGACCGTATGGGATCGGTGGTCTATCAAGGGAGACATCACAGTTGCAGAGCTCCTGAAGTGGTTAAGCGACAAGGGCCTGAGTGCATACAGTGTCTCCTGCGGCACATCGTTGCTCTACAACACAATGTTCCCAAGGCACAAGGATCGACTGAGCAGGAAGATTGCAGATGTTGCCAAGGAGGTGGCAAAGGTGGACATTCCAGAATACAGGAAGCATCTGGATGTCGTCGTTGCTTGTGAGGATGACAACGGGAACGATTTTGACATCCCTCTTATCTCCATTTACTTCCGGTAGGTTGCACTGTGAAAAGAGATGATGAATGGGAGGAAAAAGTCCCCGTGAAAAAGAGATTTGAGTAGATTGATAAGTTCTGTTAATATTCACTCTTGTTATTAAAAATCGGTAGCGAAGTGACCACAGCTGGAGTTACTTGTAGTGCATCTCCTATTCTCCTTACGGTTCTGTACGGGTGCTTGGGTCCCTGCTGTTGCATGCCAAATATTTGCAGGTGTGCAATGTGATCTGGATATTTTAATTAATGAATGCTTCATAGCTTCAGAGTTCTATTCACGTTGCACCTCACTGCAATTTTTTTCTTCTTTGAACACACCGACAGGAGCTCTGTTTTTTAATTAAGTGGAAAGAGTTGATCCAGTTTATAAGAAAAACCAGGTCTGAAAGCATTACACTTGCATGGTTAATTAGAGGAAAACCAGCAGAAAACCCTAACATCGACAGCATAGCCAAAATGAAACCCAAAACGACACAGCCTGCCGCAAGTCATCGTTGCACCTCACTGCAATCGTCAATCTCAGACAGTAATTTCAGCTTTTGTGAATCATTAACATGCCATATAGGAGTATATGACACTGATACACACGTCAATTCCAATCCTTTCCTTTTCAGCGTGCCTTGCTGGCAACACAGTTTAATTCTCAGAATGAGTAGGGAGCAAGAGCGCTTTTGATACAACGCTTGTCACCGTTGAGACTCCTTGAGTGTCTTGGTGAGTGCAGGCCAGCAGGTGCGTCGTCGCGCAGCGGTGAAGTAAACTGTAAGTTGCACGGTGCCCGTGTTCACTGGGACTCAGTTCAGCCCATTCCACGCGTTTCCCGCATAGGAGAGGGCTGGGGGCTGGGCAGTGGCGACGGAGGTGTCCGTGTCCCGTGGCCGGCGCGTGGGCCGGCAGGGTCACCCCAGCGTCATCTGATTGCCTCCGCCCTCCGGCACATGCCTCTGTCTCAGTGGGAGGCCAGGACCAGGAGTCCAGGAGGGAGCCAAGCGCACGCCGGCACGCGCAACCGATGCCTGTCTCCGCGACGGCACATGGATGGATCATCAGGACGCCCCGTGTTTAACACTCCAAGTCACCGGGCGAGCCATGATGCCCGTTCCCCGTCTCCGCCGCTGCATCCCGCTCCACTAGCCAAAGCAGCAACTCGCCACTACTACTACGGACGCGGTAGCGCTCAACCACCAGACGCCGCCCCTCCTCCCCCGTCACCGGGCACCGGCAGCACGGCAATATCTTAACCCCCGGAAAGTCGTTGCCACACGTATCCGATCGTGATCGTAGATACGTGTGGTGGACAAATAAACAAATCGGGCGGCGATGTCTTGGGGACTCAGCGAGCCGCGAGCGTTCGTCACCGCCAAGGCAGGCTGCAACATGCACCTCACGACTTCCTGCGCGCCGCAGCTCGGCAGCTGCAGAGACTGCAGTGTGGAGGGTCTCCGATTCGCCTGCGCGTTTACTTACTCGTCATAGGCCGTGCCGTACACCGGGTTATTCGTGATGGAATGAGACAGCAGGCAGGCAATCAGGCTGGCTTAGCTTAGATGCCTACCTAACCGACAAGAATATCTATCAGTTCTCCTAATATTAATAATGGAACGAAACATGCAAACAGCCCCCAGTCTGTGCAGATGGCAGGCGCTAATCATCCGAGACAACTGAACTCCCAGGAAGATGCAGGAGCACTGCTACTGCTCGTCATGATCAAGGAGCAGCACTGCAGAAGCCACCGACTGGCCGAGGCCAACCAGATGAGACGAGGCAGGCCTGTCCGAGTGTCCCTGTCGCACGGCACGGTTGCGCGTCCCAGTCGCCACACCCTCCACCGTCACTTGCTGTCGCCGCACGGCCGCGCGCCCCCACACCTGGATTCATCTCTGGTGAAAGGCGACGCCCAGCGGCGGAACCGAACGACCCGGCACCTCGCCACCTTCACTGCACGGCCGCATGGGAATCAGGTCGCCGCTGGACACAACGGTTCCTGTAAAATGTAAATCCTGCTGCGCTGCGTCCAAGTAGACGTTTGTATTGTATCCTAGATAGATCATTTTTTTTTCGCGACCGTGCCACATCCTAGATAGATCATAGATCGCTTGGATCGCCCAAGGCAGGCAGGCATTCGTGATCGGCGGCAACGGTCGAGAAGAACGTGAGCCTCCGATTCACTTGGGGATCACGAACGTGGCGCCCTTTTGTTTGGTTCAGCTTCAACCGACCTATCTCTCTGCCCGTCTGAGATTACCGTTGACTGCGAATTGATGAGCGCCCAAGCCCAAGCCTACTAGTGTTCGCTCCCTTGTCGTGTCACGTGGACGGTGGATCCTCGGTTGATTGTGGCATGTTTCCGTCGAATTTGGCGCTGCTGCTGGGGCGGTTTCCCGGTCGCGGTCAACTGGGTGAGGCGTCCCCCTCGTCTGCGATTAGTGGTGGGGGGACTTGGGGGTTATGGCGATTGCGGCATCCCGTCCCGGGCGTTGCTTGCTTCACGTGATGCCTCCATTCTCGACAGGCACGTCCACATCCACGCAGATGCGTCTTGTAGACCTCGGAACTCAGCAAGGGTGCACAGAAGATAGATTTGCCAAGTGGAACCCTAGCGCCTGGACGTCTGATCCACGGCTGCGCCCCAGCAGCAGCGACAACCACTGGCCGCGTCATGTAACACCCTAATCTACTTTTGTAATATCTAAATGAAACATTTACAACATACGTCTAAAACAGATGAAACATTTAGAGCATACAGTTGAAACATCATTGTAACAAGTGCAACATCCCGATCTTTTGAAACCTCCAGATGCAACACTTGCAACATACACAAATAAGACATATGAAACACTTAGAGACATGCGTCTGAAACACTTGCAACATACGTGTACAAAAAAACAGATGAAACATTGGGGATAGATGCTTGCAACATACGTGTACAACCATTACAACATCTCGGTCTACTTTTACCACATTCGCATGAAACAATTTTAACATACATCTGAAACAACTGAAACAAATGCTTGCAACATGTCTGAAAAAACGTCCACAAACACTTGAAACACAGCATCACCGCATGGCCATGACCTACCTAGTGGGCAACTGCGGTGGCGCAGACTCGCTGGATGGCGCGCGCCCGCACACCTCCTCCATGCCCGCCGTTGGCCGAGGGAGAGGAGACGTTGTCGGATCTAGGGAGGGCGCCGCCAGCCTAGGTAGGGAGGGTCAATAGCTTGCTTGAGCTGCCGCCTGCGCGCCAACGGCTTCTTGAGCCCGCCAGCTAGATCCGGTGGGACATGGGGGAGGGTCGCGGCCGCCATGGAGTGGGAGGAGGGGACGCCATGGAGGCCGCCGGACACGAGGGAAGACACACGCCCCGCTGGATCCATGGAGAGGAGGGGAGGAGGGGAGGCTATGACACAGTGGAGGGGACAATGGCGCTTGCAGCGGCGATTTTTTTTTTGTGAAGAATGGAGACAGCAAGGTCCATTATAGAACGGGCGAGAGGCTACGACTATATGGGGTGCGGTGCGGACATGGTCCATTATAGAGTGGCACAACTCGGACGGGGTCCGTCTAGACGGACGGACAATTGAACAGGAGCATTACCGTTTGCCAAGACATATAAAGCCTTGTCATGTTATCACAGCTTATTACATACACTAAAATATTTTAGGCTTGCTTTTCTTTTCTTTTTTTTGCGCATACTTTTAGGTGCGCTTTTCTTTTTTTTTCCGCACTTAAATCTATCGAGACATGCAGAAAGATACGTATATGGGACGACGTGGAATCGGCATTGGCACGACTTCTACCGACATTTCTTCCTTCTCGCTCCAAGAAAGAAACTCTAGCCTCTTTTGGCGTGCTCTAGCCAAGCCTCGAGGCGGCTGCCCCTAGCCACCACTTGCCGGCCGCAGCCACTGCTTGGCTGTGGCTAGCTGGGACGTGCCTAAGGGTGGTCGGGCATGGCTAGGTGCGGTCGTGGCGAGGCTGCGGGATGACGGTCGTGATCTACGCATGAGAAGACAAAGCTGGCGTAAAACAAATCGACCGATTTTTAAGAGTAAGATTTTGGAAATGGTTGGAGAAACCTAATAATTGTGCTCTCAATTTTTTTTGGTGACTAGAAAAACTTATTGATTTTGGAAACATTTTTTTAGGAAAAATGCTCTAACCAACCGATATGACACTGGATTCGAACACCAATATACTTTTGAAACCAAATAAAATTTATAATGTTGTCGTCAATGTGGGGAAATGGCCCCGCTCGGCTTACCTTATATCCGGCTTGATCGGTTTCTTTTTTCAGCCGGAACAGTGTTTTTTTCTTTCAACATTTCAGCCAAAACAGTGTTTTTCAGCCAGTTTGAGCCAAGATTCAGCAAGCCGAACGGGGCCAATTATTTGTGTCAAAGATTGAGCAACTGTTCCATTAATCTACGGCGTGGCAAGTCTTCAAAACCTAATGCAGAGACATGTCGTTACGAAATGATTGGGTAGCTAGATTAACCTGGGATTATTCATATCTGCGAAATGATTACAACAACAACCAAAACATTTTCTTTAGTTAAAAAATAAAAAAGAATTCTGAAAGTCCTTTAGTTGTGTGGTCGCCTTCGTGCCGCCTCCTTTCCTTCTCTTCCGCCCCACCAGACCAGACCACCACCACCAGTCCACCACCCTCCGGCTGCTACTTTTGCCGTCTCCACCGCCCTTCTGGCCTTCTCCAGAGCCCCAACCGACTACGCGTTCCCTCCCAAACGCACCCCCTCCTCCCCTCCAGTGACAGCCTTCTAAGCCTGCGCCTCCTCGGGCTCCCCCTCCAGCCCGTGCCACTGCACTTGCTGTGCCGACCCGAGCTGCGGTCGAGTGAGTTAGTAATGGAGCCGCGGCGGCGGCGGCCACCGAGGCTGCCGCTCCATGCGTTCTTCTTGGTTGCCGCTACTTGGCCGCTCGGGAGCTCAGGTTTGTTTCTTCTCCTTGAGCTTTGGATTTCGTCGGTGTAATTGGGTGTGCATTTGGGCTTATGGTGTTCTGCTACCTCCCTGCTTTGCAGCAGGGGTTGCAAGCTTTGGAGTTGGTGCGGAGAGCAATGGAGCTTCGTCTAGTTTTAGGTTAGTGTGCTCAGATTCTTAGAATCTCATTTTGTTACTTGTTAATTGTTGTACTCTCAAAAGTATGTTATTACTTGCCAGAAATGGGTACAGTTCCTTTTTTTTTTTATACTCAGTGAATGTTATTCTTGGGACTGGAATTGGAGGCTTGGATGCTTTTGGTTTTGGCCTCTTTTCACACATGGGTTGGCAAATAGCAAAAAGTTGTGATTTTGGTTTCTTGACTTTGTAAAGAGTTGCCTCTCAGGCTCTGGGTTGAACTGGTATCAGAATCAGCCACCGGGTATTTGAATCTTTTTAACTGTTGTCATGCTTCTCTTTGTACTGGATCCAGCAGTAAAGCTTTGGAGTAAAAGCCATATAGTGAAGGATGGCTAGGTCCAAAAAAAAAACGTTTCAACTTCAATTCTGAAACTTAATTGTCCGTTCAGAAAATAAAAAAATATATTTGAGCGTGAATAAAAAAAATCAAGAGAATTATTTTTCATACTGCCATCTATAGAAAATGTGTCTTCTTGGCTTGCTAATATGACTAATCCTTCTGTAGGAATTCCAGGAGACTGCTGCAGATTGGAGACAGAAACGAAGATGGCCTATTTCATCTCCCACATGCACGGACTCTAACGCACAAGAGCAGATCTCATAGAAGAGCTCCAACACCAGCACCAGCACCAGCGTCTGCTCCAGCACCCTCACCATCCATGTCACCACCAGAAGGTTCACCATCTCCATCACCACATAGTTCACGATCAATGCCACGCCAATCAACTTCAAATCGTCATCCATCCCTAGCCCCTCCACATTTGGTTAGGCCTGGGCCTAGGCAAGATGAAAATGATCCTATAGTTGATACTCCACCTCATTCTCGCCATAAACATTCCTGGACAACCTATGGTTTAGTTGCAGCAGGGATTGCCGTTTTCCTTTTGGTATCAGCAGCTAGTATTCTCTGCTTCCGAGCTAAGAAAATGGGAACTGTGAGGCCATGGGCGACAGGTCTAAGTGGACAATTGCAGAAAGCTTTTGTAACTGGTATGGTTTTTTCCTAGCTATGTATATACCATATATGTGGTACTGTTCCAGTTTTATATCATAATGCTGTAATCATATTTCTAGGTGTACCTTCGCTGAAACGATCAGAGTTGGAAACGGCATGCGAGGATTTCAGCAATATAATTGGCTCTACCTCTACCTGCATGCTGTACAAGGGAATTTTATCTAGTGGAGTTGAAATTGCAGTGGCCTCAAGCTTGGTAACATCTGCAAAGGATTGGTCGAAAGAAAATGAATCACAGTACAGGAAAAAGGTATTGTACAGTTATCTTCAGTCTACTTAGATACAACTTGCTTAATTTTAATCGATGAAAATAATAATGGTTTCAGATCACAAGCTTGTCCAAAGTAAGTCACAAGAATTTTATGAACTTGCTTGGCTACTGTGAGGAAGAGCATCCCTTTACCAGGGTGATGGTATTTGAATATGCTCCAAATGGGACACTTTTTGAGCATCTCCATGGTAAGCGCATTGCTGTCATGAGTTTCTCAGTTTCATCTGTCACAAAACTGTTCTCTTCACTGTGTACAATTTTTGTCACTATGACTTCTGTATTGTTGATCAAAGTTTGACAATGCATTCCTGATTTCACTGCAGTCCGGGAAGCAGAGAAGCTTGACTGGATGGCACGGCTCAGGATATCCATGGGCATTGCTTATTGTCTTGAGCACATGCATCAGCTGAAAACACCAGTTGTGCTGAGGAACTTTGACTCAACTACACTATACCTTACTGATGACTTCGCTGCAAAAGTCTCAGATCTTGAATTTTGGAATGATGCAAAGGGACATAATTCTACCAACAATGAACTGGCTTTCTCCCCAGACCCTGAGAACATTGTGCGCAAGTACGGCATGGTGTTGCTGGAGATATTGACCGGAAGAGTTCCTTGTTCTGAGGATGATGGACCACTGGAAAACTGGGCGTCTCCCTATTTTGAAGGTGAGATGCGTCTTGAGGAGCTGATTGACTCTAGCATCGGTTTCTTCCCCGAAGACACTGCACGTGCCCTTTGTGAGGTTGTAAGATCCTGCATTGATCGGGATCCAAAGAAGAGACCACAGATGAAAGAGGTTGCAGCTCGGATGAGAGAGATCACCGCGTTGGGGCCTGATGGGGTGACTCCGAAGGTGTCACCGCTCTGGTGGGCTGAGCTTGAGATCATGTCTTCTGAGAGCTGAGTTTGGACGCATGCCAGATGATATTGTTTCTCCTAGTGTGACTGAGAATTCTTTGAGCTATTGGTTGCTGCTAATCTTGTGACTGAGAATTCTTTGAGCTATTGGTTGCTGCTAATCTTGTTTGTGGAATTGGTGATTAGGTAGAAGAAGTTGAGAATTTGTTGTGTGCAAAATTGCATATAGGGAGTTGTATTGTACTTGTACATGTCAGGAAGGTTAACATTACAACATACTGATATGCAGGCATTCTAGCCAAGTGAGCAACAGAAAGCATGTGTGGCTTGTTTTTGCTGCAATAGCTCTTTTGTCAAGCAATTGCTACTGGTATTGCCTTATTCTACTGAGGTTGAAATAGCAAATCCTTATGGTTCAATCTTCCCAAAATTACGGCAAATGTTAGCCCAAAAATGAAGATAAACAGCAGTGTTTACTGAGGTTGAAATGGCAAAATCCTTATGGTCCAATCTTCCAAAAATTATGGTTAACCCCAAAAATGAAAATAAATACAATGTTTTTCACTTTGGTTTTGTGGGGCCCTCTCATCAAAGAAGAGATCCCTCCAATCTTCCTCCAACTCCAATCTGCTTTGTGTGGCGAGCACATGGTATTCTTGAGTAAAAGGCGAAAGAATAGTTCGCTTTGTGCTCACCACGCAGCTGCATGCCTTGCAAAGGCTGGCTCGGGTGCTATTTCAAAGAGCCTCCGGTGGAGATGGCTGCTGGCTCAGCAGTACGGGACTAAACTGATGGTAGCACATCTCGTTTCCTGTGGGCCAGATTATAGATAACTGTTGGTATCGTGGGCCTGATTAGAAAGTATCTGTTGGTCTCATTGGGCCTACTAACAAACAACTACTACTAGGTAAATCAGGTCCGGTTGATGCTTTGGCCATCGATAGAAGAGAATCAGAGAAGGCATGTGTGCACATTTCGAACCAAAGAACAAAGCGTAGTTGTGAACACGAACAAACGTGTAGAGCTGACTATAGAGAAAAAAATGCAACCAAGAAATGCAATGCAGCAAATGCCATGGCCTCGTTAGCTGGAGGCACGACGGAACCACAACTCATAATACAGAGTACACCCACTACAGTTTGCAGAAATAAAGCAGAGAGAATCTTCGCTTTCGCTGCATTACTTTAAAAACTCGAATTTGTAACCAGTCGTGCCTCCGAGTGCACGTCACACGGCATACATACAAAAGAAGAAAAAGAGGAAGATTCGTCGATACCGCGGTGGTTTGAACACCTTGCTGACCTGGTTCTTTCTTCAGCCTTTTTCTTCCTCTCTTTCTTCTGGAGGTGCTGGCCGTCTGCAGCCTTTGATGCATGCTCTTTGTCACCTGCGCAGTCTACCTTAAACAACACGTGCTCAATCTCCTGCGGTGCTCGCTCTCGGCGGCGCCTCCCAAGTCCAACTAACAGTAACAGAACTAAGGCTTTTGTATATACTCCTTAGAGATATGTGCATGTTCTGGTGCTCCTGCCTCACTGATCTGCAGTGCTCCGTCTGCTTCCACCCCATGAGAGTAGAGAAGAGATCGTCTCATCATTCTGCCTCGCAAAAATTGCAGCTGAATCAACGACGAGGAGGGCGGCGGCCGGCCGGCTAGCTCTGGGGTTCGTCGGCCTTGGTGGAGGCTTTGCTGTACAGCTCCAGGGTGTCGCCGTGGGTTGGGTCCAGGCACAGCGCGGCCTCGCAGTCCCGCAGGGCGCTCTCGCTGTCGCCCATGGAGTCGAAGAAGGCCGCGCGGAGGTGGAGCAGCTGGAGGTCCGGCTTGAAAGCTACGGCTCCTGACAGCTCCGCGATCGCCTCCTCTTCCTTGCCCTCGTCCATCAAAACTGGGGGATGAAACAGAAATGCAAACATTACTGTGCTTGTCAAATCGAAAATTCGTAATGCACACAATTGGAGGGAGCACAACAACTGCAATAACAAATCTTATACTCCCTCCATTTCAAAATGCAAAAATGCAGTGTTTATAATCTGAAAAATAAAAGGCATTAACCGTTAATTAGTCAAAATATATGTACGCTTAATTTAAAACATGCATCATTAGATTCATACTAACTTCACATATTTCAGTAAGATGTTGCTTTTGTAACAATTGATGCTATATTGATCATAGAAATTAATGGTCAAGGTATACCTTGAAAGATCTTCTCAAATCTTTATACGTCTTATTAAAAAAAAAAAAAAAATGGATAGACTGTTGGAGAAGGTGTAGCTTGCATTACTTAAGACATGTTTCTAGGAATTGGAAGTTCGAAACAATGCAAGATTCCCATGTCATGTTGATATGTTAGGTAGTAGACTCACCAGCTGCTCTGTATCTGTAAGGATAAGTCCTTGTAGGATCAAGAAGCGTCGCTGTGTTCAGGTCGCTCCTCGCAGCGTCGCGCTCGCCATATTCTGACCGTTTTTCATACGCCGACGCGCTGTTGGTAGCTATCTGCACGAGCTTTGTCATCTCCTCATAAGCAACCTTTTTCCTATTTTTCAAGTAATGGACTCGAGCTAGACCCTGATGCGCCCGTGTGTGCTTTATGTTCAGTGCTATGCCGTAGCACTCGGCAGCCTCATCCAGCATGTCACAGTCCACGTAGATGCTCCCCATGTTGTTGTATGCCTAAAAGATGTCGTTAGTTGTGAGCACAAACAATTAGCAGAAGTCGAGAGTCTTGGGCGATTCTTACTTGCCCCTTCCGAAGGTTGTCAGAAGCACAACTGTTAGCATGTTCCAGAAGCTGTACAACGGAGAGCGAAGATTCTGTGTCAAGGCTAGAATCTCCTAAAGCATACGCCTTGAGGAAGAAGGCTTCGAATGATCTTTGAAGTCCAATCGACTGCTCAGCCTTGGCTAATGCTTCGTCCCGATGTCCACTGTCATACAGAATCCAACCTTCATATACAAGCCTCTCATGCTCATGGAGTGAACTGTTCCGAGCATATCGCAAACTACGCATGGCAGCTTTCTGACAATTTAGCCTACAATATACAAGGAGACAACAAAAATGTTAAATCTCTTAATAATCCAAAAATTTACTCATTCAATTCCAAATTATAAGTCATTATAACTTTTTTGGAGAGTCAAAGCATCTCAAGTTTAACCAAAATTATAGAGAATTATAAAGATTTATGACATCAATTAGGTATAATATGAAAATATAATTAATGAAAAATCTAATGATACTTATTTGGTATTATAAATGTTATTATTTTATTATATAATTTGGTCAAACTTGAGATATTTTGACTCTCTCAGAAAGTTGGAATGACTTATAACATATCAACAAATAAACCTTCTCCTTGTTCTCTTCTTTTTCTCCCAGCTTTACATGGGATTCATAATTGTGGCATTTACTAGAGGTTTGCTGCCCAAAGTTTTTGCAATTTTTTCATCCAATATGCAGAACAACTATAGTTAGTTTAAAGGCCCTGGTTAGTTTAGGCCATCCACTCAACTGTAGTTAAGTTGCTAAAGATTAGCCGGAGTGGATCCAAATGAACCCGGCTAATAGGTCAACTAATTGTGAGCTGGACATTGAGTTAACAACTATTTCACTAGCTATTCCAACCTACTTCTTCCATCATCAAAAGAGTGTCGTTTTTGTTAATGTCCAGATTCATAACAAAAACGACTCTCTTTTTTGGACGGAGAGAGTGACTGATAGGAGCTAAAAGATTGTATTTTGCTCTCCCACTACCTTATATTCCACGTGTATTCCTGATAGGTAATAAAAAAAAGAAAGGGCATTATAGACAAAGCAATAATGCATTTACCATTTAGCTGTGGGATCCAAACAATGCCTAGCTAATATTAGCTACTGATGGATCAAACATGTCCTTAGTTTAAAATAGCACTGATATTAGCCATGTATGAAATTATCCCCTGGACAAGGTTAATCGAGGATCAGGGCCGTACCTATGATTTGGAGGACCCTGAACAAAACGTGCGATGTGGCCCTAAAGTTCAAGAAGTAAACTAAGATTCTTTCACAACATATAAGAGCACCCCTTTGAGTTTGAGCCACAACTTCTAATCTTTACTTCTTCTTATGCTTTTCATGGCTAGAATCATACCTCTTATTTCTAGAAGACATGATGAAGATCAATGAAATAAACAAATTTCCTCTCCAATCCCTCGACTATAATGCGAATTTTTAGATTATCTAATTGGTTAATCTCCTATCCAAGATACAACAATAGACAATTGGAATGAAAGTGGTATGGCGGTGGCACGGCGGATGACCATAGGCCTTACTTTGGGCCAATACTAAACTAGTGATTGCAGGCCTAGTGGCATCTTTTTTTTTCTATTCAAGGATTAATTATTGCTAATTACTACTTAGTGTAAATATGGAGGCCCTGCAATTTTGGAGGCCCTGAACAGTTGCCCCACTTGTTCCTGTTAATGTACGGGGCTGCGAGGATGAAAAGTGGTGCAAGGAGATCTGTCCAATCAAATCCAGCCTCTGTGAAGCAAGCTAATGAACAATGTAAAATAGGCTAAATATTGGCCCTCCATCCAGTTTTTGATTTACCAAACATGTCATATGAACCAGAAGTTTGAAAAAGGATTTGTTCTCAGATCTCAGCACATGAACGGAGAGAGAGCAGTAGATTCAGATGTACCTTAGCAGGAGAAGTGACTGTCGAAACCGCAAGCTGCTGTTTCCGGGTTCCCTGGCGAGCATCTGCTGGACAACCGCCAGAGAGCCGATGTCATCCACCGCCGACCACCGGTCGTACAGCTCCATCCAGCAATCTGCCATATCCCACTGCCGCACCTGTCCTCGGAGGAGCTCAATCAGCTGTTCCCCGTGCATTCTCCCATGGAACATCATGTAAGTTGGATCCAACGTCAATATCGCCCTGACATCCTGCACAGCCAACTCGCATTGCTCAAGCGCAAGGTAGAACCACGCCCGGAGCTCCAGGCAATCGGTCGCCATCTTGAAACCGACGACCTTGCTGATCTCTGCGATCGCGGACTCAGAATTGTCCTCCTCTAACAACGCGCAGGCACGATATTTGTACGGGAATGTCATCGTCGGGTCCAGCTCCGTCGTCGCCTGCAGATCAGCCAGTTTCTCCTTGCCGACACAGTACAGGGAGCGCTCTTGGTACATCCACCCGGCGGGTTCTTCGTAGTCGCCGACGACACTATTCATTAGCTTGTACGCAGCGTACTTGTGCCCGCGCTTGTACTTGGCACGTGCCTCTCCAGCCAGCGAGTAGACATGGCCCTCGGCAACGGCGGCCTCAAACCACTCCTGCGCCTCCTCAAACTCGCCGCGCTGCAGCATCACGCACCCGAGCTGGTGCAGCGCCAGCTGCTTCTGCCATGGCTGCTCCGCGAATTCATTCAGCCTCTCCAACAGCATCACCGTGGTGTTCGATCTCATGTCCTGCTCCATGGCGACGTAAGAGAGGAAGTAGTAGAGCGCGAAGGACGCGTTACCGGAAATGTCAAGGCGCTCTCGCCCCTCTGGGCTGCACAGCAGGCGCGCGATGTCCGGGTAGGTGAGCGACTTGGGGAGCTCCCGCAGGAACGCCTGGAGGCAGGAGGCGACGAGGAGGTGGGAGGCCTCCTCGAGGCCGATGTCGATGAGGGATCGGGCGTTGTCGAGGCCCCGCACCATGGCTGCGAGCTGGTTGTCGCAGGCTGCCTTCAGGCCCTCGCAGCAGAACTTGTTGGCGAATGCGAGGAGCTGGGAGATGATGTCGGGCGGGAAGTCGTCCACGCGGCCGTGGCGGCTGTAGGCGGAGACCGCGCGCATGCCGCGCGGCGTGATGCCGTCGCGGGAGAAGTCGATCCGGTCGCGGTGCGCCTCGGCGAACCCGCCGTAGAGGAGCGTGTTGAGCGGCTTTGAGAGCGCCGCAATGCACGAGCGCTCGCACGCCACCTCCTCCTCGCCGATGATGAACCACAGGTCATTGGTCTCCGGCTCCTCCTCCTCGCTCATCTCGGAGGCGGCGCCCGACGTGTTGCGCCTGAGGCGGTGCGGTGGAGGGGTGATGGGAGGAGGCGGCGGGCGGCGGCACGGGCAGAGTGGGTCCACGCTGTGGGACACGCTGGCGAAGACCGCGGCGCGGGGGCACTCGAGCAGCGGTGTCGTCGCGGTGCAGGGCGCGAGCGGAGGCGGCGTCGGGTCGAGCTCGTCCTCGCGGCGCTCGTACCGGAGCCACGCTGCGAGCACAGCGCGCCGGTGTGGGTTGTCCGCGTGGACGCGCGCAGCCCGCAGCGCCCGCCGGATCAGCCGCGCGTCGCCGATCGACTGGAACAGCGCGTGCTGCTCCAGGTACGCGTCGCAGAGGTCGTCGTCGGGCCCCGCCGTGGCGGCCGACACCCTCCGGTACGACGCGGCGAGCGCACCGACGTGGTCGACGGGTCGCAGGCACGCGTCCAGGGCCGGCTCCAGCGCGTCGGCCACCGGGAGGCCGCACGGCAGGTGCGGCTCTGGCACGAAGGCCCCCGACGTGGACGGCGCCGCGTGCGGGTAGTAGAGCGATCCGGACCGCATCGATATGGTCTTTGGAGGAGGCGGGGTATGGGGCTTGCCGATGCTGCTCCCGCCGGCATCCGCCGAGCCGGACGTGGAGGCTCCGACGGAGCTTAAGGCGTATAATTGAGCGGCCTTGCAACCCTCGATCAGCTTCAGGCTCTTTATCGTCGTGAGGAAGTTATTGGTCATGGTGAATCCCGCAGCCGGCTTGCCCGTTCCTCCTCCTTCCCTCGGCTATGGCGCGCGCGTTTGGCCAGCAGCCTGTCGCACGGCGACGATCGTGCCAGAGCGGGAGTTCCCGGCGGAACGGCTGGTGCGCGCGCGCGTCGCCCCCGCCCTCCCGCGCGGCCGCGCGTCCCCGCCGTGCGCCCAGGCGTGACCTGTGTAATGCCGTTGGTTGCGGGGGGGCGGCGGGAGTGGGCCGGGGGCGCGGGGAGACGAGACGCTTCGTTGAGGACGGAGGGGGAGGACACCGAGGAAGGCGGGGGGCCGTAGCTGCTGCCGCCCTCTTCTGCAGGAGTTCTTTTGGAATTTTTAGCTAGTTTTTTTCATCCCTGCTCTGCTGTAATCGTGGGTTTTCGCTTGAAAAGGACCTCTCCCTGGGGAGGAAAGAGGGAACAGCAGGAAGCCAGGAAACATGTTCAAATTTCACATCAACATCGATATGATGTACAGTGAAAGTACTGTTCTTTTTTCTTCACTGACAAACCACGACTAAGGCCTTGTTTGGTTCTAAGCTCCTAAAACCATGACTGAGGCCCTGTTTGGTTCCAAGCTCCTAAAACTTTTAGGAGAGCTTTTAGAGACTGCCAAAACCTCATAAAAGAATGTTTTGGTTCTACCTCAAAAAACTGACTAAAAGCAATAAATACACTAGCAAAAAGACCATACAGCCCCTCCTCCATACCCTTGCTCCTTCTCTGCTCCCGTCGTGGCCCTTGCTCTCCTCCTCCTCGCCGTCTCCGCGGAGGTGGCCATCTCGACGGACAGGAGCGTGAGCAGCTCCACCACGCGCCTCCGCCTCGTCTTGGTCGCGGCCTTCCCCCTGCCCGTCGGGGAACACAGGCGGCAGGGGCCGACGGATCCGGCGGCGCGAGGGTCGAGGACGGGGAACAGCGGGAGGAGGTCAGAGGGGTGGCGCTGACTCGGGCCCCATGGCGGCGGGGAAGACGGAGGGTACATGGAGGCGGCAGCCACTGCCATCTCATCTCAGTCCAGTGAAGGAGCGCGCGGACCGTTTGGGGGCCAGTGGATCCAGCGAGGTGAGGCCGGCGTGGGCGGGCAAGGCGGGCGGAGAGACGGATCCAAGGCGCCACGCTGAGAGAGAGATCCCGGCAGGTGGCGGCGGCGAGGATCCGGTGGGGATCCATCGGTGGAGGGTAGGGGCCGCAAGAGGGAGGCGCGGGTGGGAGAGAGAGAGAGGGGGCAAGGCAATAAAGGAGGGGTAGTGGGGTCCATGATGTACTTTAGGAGCTTTTATGAGGAGGTGGAGCTCCTAAAATTTTTGGCCCCTCCTAAAGTTTTTATGAGCTTTTAGGAGAAGGTGTTTGGTTCTTTAGGCAAATTCTATCTAAATTTAAGCACCTAAAACTTTTAGGAGGGATAACCAAACATGGCCTGAAAGTACTGTTCGTTGTTTGCTTTGCTGAAAACCCATGACTGAAAGTACTCTTCACTTATTTGTTGTGAGAGAAAAATACTATTCATTCGTTGAAATAGTATGCCTAGTAAGACAAGTGAGAGTTATAAGGTCTGTTTGGTTACTGGTATCATCTAGCCTGGCTCGCATGAGCTTAGCCAGATTCAGTTGAGCCTGACTGAACACATACAAAGTCGTTTTGTTTGGTTACCACCTCGCATCCAGCGAGCCAGGTCCACGAGAAACAAAAATGAAACTCGTTTCTCGGGAGCAGGCTGAGGGCGTTCTTTTGCATCTCGCAAGACATACTCAGATGTTTGTCTAGACAACCATACAACTAAAAACTGCTTTCGATGAGCTTGACTCGGCCTTATACAATCAATCAAACAGGCCTATAGACGCTGAATACGTCGACTAATTGTAGTATTTATTTACTAAAAATATATACTCTTATCTTATCTTCAAAAATAGACCCAATTTATAAACATCACATATTTTCTCCTCTTATCCCCGTTCACCCCATCTCTAAATTGATGCGTTCACTCAGCCACTACGCGTTGATACAAGCCAAGAATTTTTATCTCTTACCAGTGTATGTTACGATGAACGTCAGCAAACCTAGAAGCCAAATGGTCTTAAAAGAAAAATGAGAAGCTAAATAAAAAGTAAGATTTTCAACACTCAACTACGAAAATCGAGTATAGGATGTCCTCCACCTATCAAAAACAGTATGATTTTGGTCATGTAGCTGGTTATGAAGGTGGTTTTATGTTTTTTTTTAAATAATAAAGAATAGGGTTTAATTTCTAAAATTTCTTAACTTATTCATTTTAGATCGGAAAAATACAAAACTAATACCATTTTTTTTTCTAAAATGGTCGTGTATCTGTTGGTGATGTATTTGGAGTCACGTGGACCTTACTTGTTCATGTTCTTAGTGTTTCATGCTTGTACTCATGTGAGAAAAAACAGCAATAGAAATAAATAAGTTTGGAAATTGCTGTAAATAGATTACCAACACACCATAGCATTTTCAGAACAAACAAGTACTAGTTTCATAATTTCTTAATTTAAAATAAATTAGACATGAATTTTTAGAGATTGAACTAAATTAATATATTATTTAAAAAACAGAAAGCCTGCTGGAGGACCAAATTTACCCGGTTCCTATAGTTGGAAGAGGTATGATACATGGTTTCATAGTTCAGAGTTGAAAATTGAACATACGTGCAAGATTAAAGTTGAAAAATGAACTTTACCTTTTAATGAATCATGCTTCTAGAATTGACCAATAAATCGTGCTTCTAGAATTGACCAACCTGTGAACATGTTCCATATATGTTGTTAATGTAGGTTGAAAGGACAATTGTGGGTTGCATTCTTTGATATGTTAGCACGTGAGCTACTAATTATAATCTCGCATTTTGAATCAAATGATTACTCAACTTATCTTGCAACTATCAAGGCTTTCTTAATATTTCAAGAGAAAAAACCGCGCAGAGAACATTTCATTAAAACTTTAATGCCCAAGATACCAGAACTTGCTTGGTTCTCATCATATTATTGGCTTCTTTTTCCTGTGGGGTGTGTTCGTTGCCTCCGAACGCTTCCACATGCATTTACTGTATTTTTCAAGCTCTATCTTTTTAATATATAAACTTCAAAAGGACGATGGAATGTTGTTGTAAGTTGGGAATGGCACTGTTTTGGCTTCCTGACAATAATGCGCGGGATCATGATATGGAAAGAGGGGCGTGGGGCCCACCAGTGCGGGGCAAAGGTTGGACGTACTCCTCTCGTCTCTAAATAAATTAATTCGTAGAATCCGTGTCTTGACTGATTTTATAAAAAGTAACAACTAAAATGATCATCTTATGAAATATATTCTATAGTAAATTTAATGACTAATAATTTGATAACATAAATCTTAACATTTTTTTTCTATAAATTCGATCAAAGTTCTAAAGAAATTGGTTTAAGACAACTTTAGAAATATATTTATTCAGTGATAAAGGGAGTACATGAGTAGCAGCAATCATACTGGTGATTAGCGTGGATCCCGTCACCCTGGTGGGGGCATTACATACTGTTTACGCTTAATCTCGCCACCCATCATGGGCTGTGCTGTGCAAGATGGGGGAGACGGACGACCCCATGTGCTTGGATTAAGGATGGCAGCGGATCGGGTTTGGGGCGGATATCCGCGGGTTTCGGGTTCTGCGGGTTCGGGTTTGGGGATGGTCGGGTTCGGTTTCGGGTTTTCACACCGTGGATATCCAATGGATATCCGAAATAAATCATTTGGAATTAAAACTCATGTTTTATAATATACTAATAATAATTTGTTTACTTAGATTATTAAATTTATTTAAAGTTGACTCATGAAAATATTTATTATTTGAGACATGTGAATATGTATATATATCCGCGTGCCATTCGTGCGGCGTATCCGCAAGCAAGTTTGCATGCACGCGTCCAAATCGACCTCGGACTTTTCAGAAGAGCAAGAGCTTATCTGACGCTAGAGGTAGGTTAACGTCACGCGTTTTTTTGCTCTCTCGTTTTTTTTAGCCTGGTTGGCGAAAATATTTTTTCGGAAAAGCTTATCTCGACGCTAGAGGTTTAACGTTGTTATTTCTCTCGACAATTTTTTTAATGGTACTGCAGCACTTTCATTGTTATTTGATAATTAGTATCCAATCATAGTCTAATTAGGCTTAAAAGATTCGTCTCATGAATTTTGTCTAAACTGTAATTAGTTTTATTTTTTATTTATATTTAATGCTTCATGCATACGTCCAAAGATTCGATGTAACGGAAATCTTGAAAATTTTTGCAAAATTTTGGGAACTAAACCGGCACTTTTTCTTGATGATGACAAGAAGATGGAGATACATATATTTTTTTTGATTGAGAAAACCGGGTTTGTATTTCACATAAAATTTTTTTATTACAGCCCAAATCTTACAAGAACACTCTTGAAAGGAAAGAAAATACAACTCGGTCCTTGTAAACTCCTCCCGGCATGCCTCGCTGCCGCCGGCCAGAGCACACTGCTTGAAGCCGACCTCCTCTCGACGAAGAAACAAAGTTTTTTGTTGTTGCCGTCTTGTGTAGCACGTTGATCCCCAACCCGCTTTGTAACCGCTGAACGACCCGGCTGAAAAAGATGGTCATCGGCCATCACATTGTCGGACACCGAGGAATCTGACGCCTCAAGGACCAGAGCCCCCAGCACACTGGACGACGACGAACCCCGAAGGGGAACTGAACCACCAAAGAAGGTGGGATCCAAAACCTAGCCCGGTTTCTCCTTGAGTTGGTAGCCATACCTTTCATATCTTCCGCCAGCGACGACGAAGACGAGGAAGGGACAGAACCTGATGCTGCCACTGCACGCGAAGTCAGGGAAGCCACCGGAGATGTTGGAGAGGCCCACGTCTAAAGTCGACATGGCGTCCTCGTCACATCCCCGCCGTCGCTCGCTGGAGCCGCAACACCATAGGAAGACAAGACCATGCCTCAGCACCGGCACAGTCAAATGCCTGAT